TTTAAAACTTGCCATTTCTGACTGAAAATCAGAAGAATCTAAATCTGTTGTGTAAATCTGAGTTTTAGGCTTTTGTCTTAAGTTCATCCACTGAACTTTTAGATAGTGAACGCCCACAGAGGAAGTCAAAATCGGAGGATACAGAAGACATAGACTCAAACCGCAATTCAATTTGTGTAATAATGCTTTCAAACACAAGATTGCACTGTGATTCGAATTCTGTTTCTGCTGTGAGGAGGTGAAAGTCGTCTTCAGCTTTATTAAGTGCCATCCTCTTTACTTTGAGCTTCCTCTTGATTGGAAAATCACCTTCAATTCCATTCTGTTTGGCTGTTTCTGCGGTATCTTAGATAATTTTGTCCACACCAACATCTCTCAAGTTCTGAAACAAAACAGAGTAGTATTTAGCTTCTTTGATGTTTGACAATATTTCGTTTCTAACTTTCTATCCAAGTAACTCAATCAACTCATTTTGTATTCGAGGAGAAAATTAAGACGTTGTAGTTTTCTTTGCTTTAACAGATGAAATGTGTTCAGCTACTAAAGGATAATAATTGCTTATAAGCTCAATCAAGTTCAGAAAAATGCCACTGTTGAACGATGACTTCTGTGCCCCGAAGGGCAAGATTGTTCCTGGCACAGAACAAAATTACATCAACAATCACTTTCAAGATGTCTCTCCACTTTTTCATTTCTCCATTAATAACTCTCTGCAGATCAGAATCCATGGTCTTTCCTTCTTTAAGGTTTTTTTTGAGAGTTTTCCAATCAGAATAGCATCTTTGGTGTTCATTGCTGTTTTCATGTTTAAGAACTCTTGGGTTTAGTTTTTTCCATTCACAAAATCTTTTTGAAATTTCTTAGAAATTGTTGGTTTTTGCTGTTGAAAATAACAAACAGCAAAAACAAAACAATGAATCTTTTTTTGTTGCTGTAAGCAACTAATGGCGAACAAATTTTTCACCATTGGGATAAATTTTTTCATACCATTTTATGCTGAAGTGTCGCTTTCTGTTGTCAAAATCACACAGCGTGTATGGGAAAAATGATCTTCTTTCTTGCTCTGGACCATGTTGAATCAAAAAGCATCTTATGTTGTCTGTTAGTTTAGGCTATGTTGCTGGATTCCCGTATTGAAAGTTTTTTCCCAAGGTTAGCGGAATATCTGATATTTCTGAATGAAGTTCATTGTGATCCATTTTAGCCCGGTTAGAAAGCTGGGAATTTCCCTACCCTCTTGTTGTTCTGAATTATTTGTGCAAAATTCTTCTTGACTTTGGCTAATGAAAATCTCCTCTTCAATTAATTCCAAATTATTATCTGAACTTAAGTCATTAATTTGAAAGTTCAACAGATAAACTTAATCTGTTGAACTTTCATTAACATCAATATTAATATCCTCTAAAATAATTTGTTTTTCTTCTGGAGAGTTAGTTATCAACCACTTCTTGAAGCAATTTTGTAGTTTCTTATAACTTTCTAGGTGCTGTTTTCTTTTTTTCTTAAATTGAGCACCAGATATTTTTTTGGTGCGATTCATTATAGAAACTTAATGTTAACTAAGTTTTGAAAACCAATGCGTTTTTTGCAATCTTAAAAATGATCCTAATAAAATGTGATTTTTCTTTTTTTTTCTTTATAAAGATTTTGTAAAAAGATTTAAAGTTGTTTCTTATGATGGGACTTTTCAATTAACTGTCTCATCATAAGTAATAACTTTAAATCATTTTACAAAATCGACTATAGAAAATATGGACAGTGTCCATATAGTCTTAAAATATAACAAATATAAATAAAATTAATATTGAATGTACTGAATAAAAAGAAGATATTTTTTAAAATATATATAAACTATTGTAGAGTTAAAGGTTAATGTTAGAGTTTATGTTAAAGTTAGAAAAAAAAAAACTTTAACATAAACTCCAACTTGTAAAACATAAACTTTCATAAACTCTAACTTATAATAAATAAACTTACATAAACTTTAATTTACAAAAACTCATTTACTGAACAGATCTGTTCAGTAAATGAGCTTTCATAAGTTAGAGTTTATGTAAAGAAGCGCAATTTTAATTATTTTTTGTATCAACTTCAAAAAGATGCCATAAATATTTGTTTCAAAATGATATTAGTTTTCTTTTATTTATTTATTTTTTTAATTTAACTTACTTTTAATTTATTTTTCGGGAACTCTGCGACCTCCCAAGTCTGGCGCCTAGGCCGCGGCCCGACTGGCCCCGCCCTTTGTACAGGCCTGAATGCATGTGATGCTGATGAAAGTGATCTGGATGAATTGTTTCTACGAATGTTCAGAATAATGAAAATAGTGTACTTTTACCTAAGAATATTCTCAGGTGTACTGCTATTACTGCTGCAGGTGAAGGTCTTTTAGTGAATTAGCACACTGCTTTCATAAGTAGTGTAATAGCTCTCTCAGGAGGAAATGTTGGTGAACATATTAATTCTAAATGATCCTTTCTCAGAGCCATAGATCATGTGATCAATTCAGAAACTTAAAAGGTTTGACAGTACATCAAGGACCTGGCCAACTCTGGTCATAAACTGATTTCTGTTTATTTAATGGAAAGATGGTAAAAGAGTATACAGGAATTATTTCACTTACTCATAATAAACTTGTCGTAATTGTGAAAGTTTATAGGAAAGCTAAGTTACTAGGTATTCCTCCCATTAATTCAAGTACTCAAGAACAGCAGTTCAATGCTATTTATGATCTTCTAGAGAATTATGGTCTCACTAACTAAGTACAATGTATCTGCTTTGGTATCACTGCATCAAACACTGGAAGTCTACAAGGTGTAAATACCAGAATGTCAGAAAAGTTAGGACAGCCACTTCTTCTCCTTGCTGCCGACATCATGTTCTGGAGCTTTATATTACTCACTTCTCTAAGATGTACCAAAGTAGTGAATCTACAGAAACAGATAACCAGCTGTTTAAAATAATCAAGTCAGTATAAAATGATCTAGAGAAAGATATAGTGCCACTGAAGAGGATTGAAAATCTACCTGAAACCGGGATAAACCAATAGCAACAGGAATCTGAACAGTTCTACAGAGATTAAATCAAAAATACGACATACAAGAAGATAAAATTCTTTACTCGATCACATTTCTAGGCTTGTTGAGTTTTTATGACACCGTCTTTAATATGTAATTATATCGGCGCCGTTTTAATGTGCTGTATATATATTTTATATATATAGTTTTTCAGCTTCAGCCACGAGGCTATGTTTTATGTATACTTTTAATAATATTTCTAAACATTTATATCGTTATTTATTTCCTCCATCATGAGTGAATATAAAATATTCACTCATGATGCTAAAATGAGAGGGACAGTTGTAACCCATTTACGAACAAAGAACAATGAACTAGTAAATGTCACTCTTGAAAACACTTTATACATACTATCTTACCAACAGTGCATTTTTTCAGTTCAAGCAGCTTCAGCTAAAGGTGCCAGTGTAAACTTTCATAAATATAGTGCTGAACTTATATCTAAGGAGGAAACTGTGTTCCCTATCCGACAATATGGTCGTTTGTATTATTTGTATAAAAATTCGATAAATGAAGCACGAACTGAAAGTTTAGAAATGTGGCACACAATAATGGGACATTGTAATAGCAATGATATTATAAAATTAGAAGGTGTAGCTCAAGGAATGAAAATAAACAATATTTCTAAATTCGATTGTGAAACATGTATTCTGTCTAAAAATGTTAACACTTGTAACCAACAACCTGACACAAGGGCAACTTACCCATTCCAACTTGTACATACTGATTTAGCTGGACCTATAGAACCTGTAGCTATAGGAGGATTTAAGTATGTCATAAATTTTGTTGATGATTACTCAAGTTGTTTACATTTTTTTTACAACAAAAAAGTGATGATGCGAAAGCTGCTGAAAAATTTCTAGCAGATATTGCTCCATATGGAAAGGTTAAAACATTTAGTTTTTATAATGATATTTCTCCATCTGGTAATGTACAATGTATTTGCAGTGATAATGGAGGTGAACATTTATAAAAAGAATTCAAAGAATTACTTCTAAAACATACCATTAAACATGAGTTTACATCACCTTATTCCCCACATTAAATTGGAACCGCAGAAAGAAATTGGCGCTCACTATTTGACATGGCAAGAGCCATGATTATCAAATCTAAGCTCCCAAAACATTTATGGACTTATCCAGTTAGCACTGCAACATATATAAGAAATCGATGCTATGTGCAACGAATTAAAAGTACACCATACGGATTAGTAACTGGTTTAAAGCCAAACATTTCGAGATTTTACTTATTTGGATCAGTATGTTACCCATATGTACATAATACCAAAAAGTTACAACCACGAAGCATTAAAGGTTATTTTGTTGGATACGATAAAGACAGTCCATCATACCTAGTTTATTATCCAGAATCGAATTCAGTTTTAAAACACAGACTTATAAAATTTACAGAAAAATATGAATCTGTTAGCCAAATAGATACCTACAATACAGATGATTTTATAAATGTTGAACCAAAAGCTACAGAGCCTACACCTAAACCATCCATTCCTAATAATAAACAAAATATACCTCAAGAAGTTTCCTAATCACGTTACCCTCAAAGACAAAGACAAGCTCCAAAATATCTAGAAGATTATATAGTTGATAATGATAATGACGATGTAATTAACTACATAGATTATTGTTATTTGATGAATATACCTACATCATACAATAATGCTATCAAAACCGATGAGTCTGATAAATGGAAAAGCGCCATGGATAAAGAAATCTAATCATTAACGAATAATGATACTTTTATTGTTACTGAACTCCCAGCAAATAAAAAAGTAGTTGAGGAAAGATGGATCTACACAATTAAAAGAAACAATAATAAAATTATATACAAAGCTAGATATGTTGCAAAGGGCTACAAGCAAATTCAAGGGATTGATTATTTAAAAATTTTTCACCTACAGCTAGGATGGAATCAGTTCGAATTTTAATGCAACTCTCTATGCAATATGACCTCATTTTACATCAAATGGATGTTAAAAGTGCTTATCTACATGGACCATTCCTTGGTATTCAATTCAAATCAACTAGTTGTTATATCACTATGAATCAATCAGATTACTTGCAAAATGTTCTACAAAAATTCGGTTTTGACAATTGCAAACCAAGATCAACCCCATGTAAGCAAGTTCCCAATTCATACCATAATCAAGAATCGATAAAATCGAACGATTCAGAGATAAAGCTATATCGACAAATGGTTGGAAGTCTTCTTTACGCAATGACATGTACGAGACCAGATTTGAGCTATGTTGTTACATGATTATCTCAGCATCTATCAAATCCAAATAGTGGTGATTTGATTATGATTAAGCATGTATTTCGTTATATTAAACATACTTTAAACTATTGTTTAACTTTTAGAACGACTGATGAGTTAAAGCTTTGTGCTTTCTGTGATGCAGATTGGGCTTCATCTTTCGAAGATCGACATAGTATATCAGGTTACTGTTTTTCTTTGTGTAAAAATGGACCAATCATAAGTTGGAAATCAAAGAAACAATCAAGTGTTGCACTGTCCACCTGTGAAGCTGAATATATGTCGATATCAGCAGCTTGCCAAGAAATTAGTTCTTTAACAAAACTATTAGGAGAATTATTAAAAATAAAATTGGAACCAGTAACCCTTAGAAACGATAACCAAGGGGTGATTGCATTGGCTTATAAAACATATAAAATCTAAACATATAGACATAACCCAAAAAGGTTGTTGGTAAAGTTCACGTATAAAATGATAACGTATACTATTAGAGTGCATACAATCAAATGAAAATTACGCAGACGTTTTTACGAAGCCAGCAAAGAAAGATTTATTACAAAAGTTTAAGGAATTTTTATTTGGATTTTAAAACAATATGTTGTCAAGTTGAGGTGTTGAGTTTTTATGACACCATCTTTATTATGTAATTATATCGGCGCCGTTTTTATGTGCTGAATATATATTTTATACATATATAGTTTTTCAGCTTCAGCCACGAGGCTATGTTTTATGTATACTGTAAATAATATTTCTAAACACTTATATCGTTATTTATTTCCTCCATCATGAGTGAATATAAAATATTAACAGGTCTAATTAAAGAGAAAAAAGATGAAATATCTGATATGGCTATGTTTGTCAGTATATTTTATGCTCAGTGGTTCCTTATAGCTGAGTTGCCAGCTGCTTATTTATATTAGGCATGATTGGTACTCTATAGTATTCATTTGTACAGACCCAATGTCTTCAAGCTGGAGCGTATTGAAGTAAATAAGAAGGTTCTTCACTAACTAGACTACTCCCAAGATCAGCCTACATCCCTAGCATCTCTTTTTATTGAGCAATCTTGGATGATCTTTGATAAGATGAGCCATGGGAGGGGGAAAGTGCAGTGGCTTAAAACCCCTTCACAGTTATCAGAGCTGAATGATTTTTATCTAGAGTTTGAGACTACCGTCAAATCTCTAGATGTAGTTAATGATTCTTCTGAGAGAGCTATCAAATTAGGAGCTTATTATGAAATCCAATAAGGAGGAGTAGAGGCAAGATATGTTCTTGCTTACCCATATCTACAAGAGAAGTAAACAAGGATCCAAGAAGAACGATCTCGCAGCAAATGCTACTTCTAGCATTATTTGACTTTTTAGTCAACATAACTGTACCATGATCAACAAAAAAAAAATTTTTTGTAATATTTTCTCAAATTTATATATAAAATGCAATATTGTGGTATGATATTTAAAATTTTTTATGGTTTAACTGTAAAAAATGATAAAAATGTAATCATAAGACATTACAAAGAAAATGCTTGAAAAAGCAAAATATTCGGTTTTCCTAATTTTTTCAGGTTCATTCAAAATACTTACATAAAAAATTTCATTAAGATTGCATTGTTATTTGTTTCTATTACTCATTCTGTTGAAATTTCCAAAAACCGACAAAAATCATCAAAATTAAATAGTTTAGAGCCCGTGGGCCACACTTGAATATTAAAGAAAAAAAAAATTTAAATAAAAAACCAATATCTGGGCACCTATTTATACATATATATTTATATATATATATATAATGGGCATATTTATACATATATATTTATATATATATATATAAATATATATATATATATATATATATATATATATTTATATATATACATATGTATATATAGTATCCCTACTAGCAATTTATGTAGCTGCGAAGTAGCACTGAGGTAACATACTGTAGCGGGTACGCAGCAAATGGCCGTCGCGGTCACATTGCCACTACGAAGCAAAAGAATGCGCGAAAATTCTCAATGTGCGGTAAAGCATTGTGTAACTTTATTTCAATTCAATTGATACTTTGAATAAAATCTTTTAATTTTGTCGAATAAGTTTTTTTGCAATTCGGCAAAAATAAAAAAATATCAAAATAATTTTCTTTCGATTTTCAGTGTCAAATGTTTGACAAGATACTTCAAGAAAATATTTCATAAAAAATCCAAAAAGTAAACATAGTAAAACACAAATATCTTAAGAATTGAATAAGCTGCCAAGGCCAGCGCAAAGGGGTGAGGGGATAGGGTGGTTGGTTTTGTGTGTTACATCCCAACAATGAACTTTTAGCTCATTTAGTGAGCCAATTTGACTCTTTTTGATAAGTATGTCGGCAAATGAAGATTTTCAGAACAGTCACTTGGTAAATTTAAAAAAATAAGGATTTTTTTCTCCTTTTTTTAGTCAGCTAAAATTTTAACGGCGTTCTCTAGGTGTTACCTACTTTTGCCGGCCCTGTAAGCTTCAGTATATTACAATAATTCGTTTTTATTATGTGCCACTTTTTTGGATTAAAATTATAAAAGTTTTCAATTCTTTGAAAAGTACGAGAAAAAAAAAAAAAAACTTAAAATGCGTTAGAGAATTTTTGTCGGAATTTCATTTGACAAAAAATTTTTTTGATATAATTCCAGTTAAAAAGGTGACAATCAAATCAAAAAAATTTAAGTTATCATTTGACGATGAAGATGATGATTCCGAAAACGAAAACGTGACAAAATAAAAAAAAAAAAGAAATTAATGGTTATATAAAACTGTCAGTAAATGAGCAAAATGTTTTTACATTTTTGGCATTAAAAATAGCATGTTTTTCCAATATTGTATTTTATTTCAACAGTGATTTTATATAGGCCTGCTACCAGTGCACCAAGTGAATGCCTTTTCTCTGATGCATTAAACACTTTGGATGCAAAGCAAAACAGAATGACAACTGAATGTTATCAAATGTTAATGTTTTTGTACGTTTAATTTAGTTTAAATTCATTAAATTTAATACTAATTAGGGGTTTTTTTTCTTGTAATAAATATTTTTCAATACAATTTATTTTTCTTAAATAAATATTATTTAATTTAGTATTCGAACTCTTTTAAGTAAAACTGGTTTTTTTTGTTTGTTACAAAAATGTAAAAAATTAATTTAGTTGTTTAAATTTAAAATGTGTTTAAAAAAAATGGTAAAGAAAAAATTGAAAATTAAAAAAATTAAGGAGTGATTTTAATGTTCTTGAGTGTGCGGTTTTATCGCAATGTTGCCTAAAACCGCAAACTTTTTTTTTACCTTTATTATTTTAATAGTTTGATTTTTTTTTTTAATATTTATTTATATATTCTTTAGTATTTTTTTTTAAATAGAAAAATATAAAAATAAATATAATAAAAAAGTTATTGAATTTTAATTGATAATTGTTTTGACCCGGTTTTACACGTATTTTAAAGTGCTTAAAAACTAAATATTGCATTTTTCAAGTAATTAAAATGTCAAAAACAATTTCCTGGTTTTAAAAGCGACCGCTGTTAATAAAATGTTTTCATTATTCAGCAGTTAAGTGTTACTTAATACATTTTATACACTATTCAACAACTTATATTGCGGAAATTGTATTTTTAAAATGCAAATACTAATCTTCCTTTTAAATTTTGCAAGTTTCGCCAACCGACGAACAACTATACTCTGAAAGAAATAAATATATTGATAATAACTTTTTTAACGATTACCTTTTGGGTTTATGTCAATACTTTCGCCTGCCTAACTATAGTGTGTTTGCGGGTTAAAATAGTCGTTAGGAGAGGTTGATATTTGAAGGGGTGGGGAGGGGAGTCGTAGATTTGTTGTGAAAATTATAGATCGAATCCATTTCCATAATACGGCAGGGAAGGGGGCTGCACTGAACAACGAAGACGTAGGGGAGGGGGGGGAGTGGGGCATGAAAAAAGCTTTTATACCATAAAAATATCACCAAAGTTGGGCTTTTTTTTATTTAAAGCCAAATTTCAATTTTAACCGACCGAGTCTCAAATTTTCTAAATTACCGACAAAACTGACATAATGTTGTAACCCTGGGAAGGTGCCCATACTCACGTCGGTATGGCCTTGGTAGGAGAGATTATTTTTGATGTGCGATTATTATTACACACTACCTATAGGACTATAATAACTTATATATTAATATAAGTTAAACGTTCAATAAGCGTACCAAATTTGATTTAATTGACTAAAGGGCATTATTTGTACATTCCATGCTGATTGGGTGTTTATAAACAGTTGCAACAACCTCATAGGCAGTTCTCTTCGAGCTAGGAAAAAATTAAAATAATCGAATTTTGCTTAAAACATTTTTTTTGAATAACAGTTTAGTTCGACGGGGCTCTAGGATTCACAATTAGTAAAGTGTATAATTACGATATAATAATATCTATCGCCTTAATAAAGCTTCCTCGTGTGTAAAATTTTTATGCGAAAGATTATTTCTTTTTTCAAGCACTAAATCTTGCTTCAGTCGACTAAATTTAGTTACACTTTACAGTTAAATGTTTAGTCGATTAATTTGAGTTAACTAAAAAGTTAGTCGACTAATTTTAGTTAGACTGAAAAGTTAGTCGGGTAATTTTAGTTGGCTAAAAAGTTAGTCAGGTAATTTTAGTTAACTAAAAGATTAGTCGGGTGATTTTAGTTAGGCTAAAAATTTAGTTAAGTATTTTTAGTTAGACTAAAACTAACCTTAACTTCCATCCCTACTTTAGCAACAAAATACGGATTAGGTGGGCAATAAAGCTTCCTATATGCTTTAATACAAAGCCCTGTAGAGGTTACATGAAATTTTCTCTCTTGAAACCATACAAGGCACAATTTTTCAAAAATATCTTTATTTTTTGTGTGTAGCATTTTATATTAAATATTACTTAAGAGTTATTTTTAGATGTTTTTGAAATATTGTTATTTTTTTTGGTTTTCAGAGAATATTAAATTAT